GAGGTAAGCCATTAGGATGCAAGCCACAGGGCAAGTAAAAGTGAGAGCCACTCTAATTTGTAGGAATCAAAGACAATCAAGTTTCTAGACTACAGAAAAATTTTTCACAGTTGGTAATAAATTCTGAACAAGTATGTGGTTATATATTGCTTTGTTTATTTAAAGCCAGACCCCAGCTTTAATGGTTTTCTCTTATTAGGCAAAGTAATCAGTGATCCCAGAATGTTGCAATACTATATGAAATCTAACTTGAAATTCAGTTTGGAGGAGTCCCTCTTGCTTTCATCTACCCTTTGCTTTCTAGAAGTTGTCTTACTTAAGTAACCAGAAAATTTCACGGGTAATCACAAGGTTTTCAATACATTGACAAACAACTGTGTTCTTCAGAAAAGGAAGAAGGCATTAAACAAATTATGAAAAGCCAACCCCAAATGCCAGTTTTATAGAAATAATACCAATATATATTTTTAAAATTCCAGTGGAAATAAAAACCTCATAGAGGGAGAAATAATACATGAAATCCACATAACCTACAAAGAAGTACTCAGAATATATTTTAGAATTTTCTACAAGTTAATGGGTGAAAGACAAGTAAGTCAAAAGAAAAAAAAGCAAAATATTAGCAGGTAGTTCACAGAAAGTAAAATTCAAGTTCACTGATCATGTATGAAAGGGTGTTCAAAACTTATGAGTATTACAACTATATTCATCTCTGAAAAATGAAGGCACAGATAGAATTTCAAAGAGGTACAAGTGAAATACTACTTTTCATCTAATGTTCAGTGTCTTTAAGCAATTAAGAGAATAGAAAACATTACTAAGTGTTCACATTTGGTAATGTAAATGAAAATTACATGTCATGTTCACATTTGGTAATAGTAATTACATGTGCGCTTGATTTACCTTTTACTTTCTTTTGTATTTTTGAAACGTTTCTTAATAAGAAATTAACATGAAAGTTATTTTACTATCTTGTTCTATAAAACTTTTTCTACCTATCACTTTTATGAGATCAAATGATAAAGGAGTCAGTATAAGTTAGGGTAAGCACATAGGAACAGGATTTGGCAACCTAATATCCCAAATCTACCATTTACCCACAATGTGACATTGATAAATTTATTGGATTCTTCTAAAACTGCTTCCTTACCTGAAAAACCTGAACAATATCATCTGCCTTCACTACATAGTTATTGTGAGGAGTAAATTAGTTCATGCTTATAAAATGATGTATGTGAAGAAATAGTAAGGAAATTTTTAACCCTTCAGTTAATGTAAAATTAGATGAGCATACTTTCCCATCTACTATCAATCTAAATTTATTGAAACAGACATTAGAAACAGAAAAGTGGAGAAATTAAAGACACACATCTTTTCTTACCGGATCTATTAGCTGAGAATAGAGTTCATGGCAATTGTCGAAAATATATTTGTATGTAGAATCCAGGCATGCCCTGACACAGTCCTTCACTACTGTGCTGGCCTTTGGGGGGCTCTGAAGCTCCAGAACCTAATGAGAAAGTTATTTTTCTTAAAAAAGTAGACTATCATAATCCAATAAAACAACTTAAACAATACTCAACAAATGTTTTTATTGATTTGTCTATGTTCAAGAAAATATAGTCTTAGAAATGTTTTAAATGTATAAATATTCATTTTTACTTTCTGATGATAAAAACTCATTGCAAATGTTCCTTGTTATAAACATTCAAATAGTAATACTAAATGTAACCAGTTAATTATTTAAAAAATATTTGCCACTTATATGACAGGCAATAGTGATAATAAAATGAACAAAAGAAACAAAAATCCCTTTGTCACTGACTTAAACTCCAATGGATAATACATAAAATAAGTAAGCAAAATAAATTATATGATAATGCAAACCAAAAATAAAGTAATGGAGATGGGATAGGATATGTTTCCATGAAACAGAATAAACATAGGGGACAGTGATACGAGAGCAAATGAGAGGAATAACAAGATGGTAATAGTAATGGGAAAAATCACATATAGACCATTGCATAAACCTGGCTTTGATTAAGGTGAGAAAGAATTGAACACTTAGAATATAAGAGCAAAGTGAACTAACCTAATTATCTTTTTGAAATTTCCTAATTTTATCACCACTTGATTAGTCTTATAAAAGATGCTTAAGGGATTGCTTCATTTAGAAGGGAAGAAAGATAACTACCATCATCAAAACACAAATATAACTCCCTAGATCAAATACAGAAAAGAGAAAGAAAATAATCGGCCAGGTGCATTGGCACACACCTGTAATACCAGTAGCATGGGAGCCTGAGGCAGGCGAATCACAAGTTCAAAGCCAGCCTCAGCAACAGTGAGGCATTAAGCAACTCAGTGAGACCCTGTTTCTAAATAAAATACAAAATAGGGCTCAGGGTGTGGCTCAGTGTTTGAGTGCCCCTGTGTTCAATCCCTGGTAGCAGAATGAATGAATGAATGAATGAATGAATCAGAAATTATCAAAGCAAGAAGTCAACTAAACACCAGGAAAACAATAGAGAAAGAAAAAAATGAAAGCTAGTCAAAATAATTAGAAGAAAATTAATAAAAAGACTAGAGTAAATATTTACATATCAATAAAAACACCAAAATGAAATGGATTAATTCCCTCAATTAAAAGACTGTATTAATGGATAGACAAAACAAATACACACAAAGACCCAAGATGTGCTTCCTACAGGAAACTTACTTCACCAGAAAAGATACACAGACTAAAAGTGAAGGGATAGAAAACAATATCCCACATAAGTGGAAACCCCAAACAGGCAGAACTAGCTATTCTTACATCAGATAAAATGGGCATTGTGTCTAAAACTAGAAAAAGAGACAAAGAAGGCTACTATATAATTATCCAGAGACCAATTCAACAAGAAGATATAATAATTGCAAATGCTCATATACTTGATGTTGTAGCACCCAATTTTATAAAATAAATATTATTAGATCTAAAGGGAGAGATTGCTCTAATATAATAATAAAGGGGGACTTTAACACCTAACTTTCATCAGTGGACATATTCAGAGAGAAAATCAACACAAAATCATCAGAATTGAGCTATACAATAGATCAAATGGAACTAACAGACATTTATAGAACATTTCATCTAATAGTTACAGAATACACACTCTTCTCATCACTACATGTATCATTTTCTATAAGACAAATACAAAGCAATAAGACAACTCTTAATAAATGTTTTAAAATCAAAATTTTTTATACATATTCTCTGATCACAAGGGAATTAACTAGAATTCAACGAAAAAGAAATTTTACTAATTGTACAAATACAATTTTTTCACAGCACACAATGAAAGACACAATGAGTCACCAAAGAAATTAGAAGGGAAATTAAAAATATTTTAAACAAATGAAAATTTATACATAACGTTACAAAGATTTATGGAATACAGCAAAAATTGCTAACAAATTTTCAGCAGTAAACACATACATCAAATACAAAACAGAAAGATGTCAAACAAACAGCCTAGCAATGGATCTCAAAAGGATAGCAAATAAAAACAACTCAAACTCCAAATTAATAGAAGGAAAGAAAGTACAAAGATCTGAGCAGAATTAAACAAAATACTCTAGAAGACACAGATCAATGAAAGAGTTGTTTTTCAAAAAAATACACAGATCTGAGTACAAAGATCTGAGCAGAATTAAACAAAATACTCTAGAAGACACAGATCAATGAAAGAGTTGTTTTCCAAAAAAAGATAAACAAAATGAACAAACTTTACCTAGGTTAATGAAGAAGGAAAAGAAAAACAATAAAATAAAACTAGAGATGAAAAAAGGACATTCTATATACCACAGTAATACAAAGAGCCAATAGAGGGTTTTATGAACATGTATAAGCCAATACTTGAAAGAAGAAATGGATGAATTTCAAGACACATATAACCTATCAAAATGGAAACACAAAGACACAGAAAAACTGAATGGACTACTGACTAGTAATGAGACTGAGTTAGTAGTAGAAAGTCTCTCAACAAAGAAAAGCCTAGAACCAGATGGTTTCACTGCTAAGTCCTACAAAACTTTTTAAAAAGAACTAACACCAAAGCTTCTCAAAGTTTTCCAAAAAATTAAAAGGAAGGGAATTCTTCAAAACTTCATCTACATGGTCAGCATTATTCTATACTAAACCCAAAGAAAAAAACTAGACCCACCTCCCAAGGAGCATAAATGCAAAAATTCTCAACAAAATAACAGCACACAGAATCCAACAACACATCAGAAAGGTCATTCACCACGATCAAGTGGGATTTGTCCTAGGGATGCAAGGCTGATTAAACATATACAAATCAGTAAATATATTACATTACACCAACAGAATGAAGGATACAAATTTATGATCATCTCAACAGATGCTAAAAAGTATTGAATAAATTTCTAAATTCCTTCATGGATGAAACTCTGAACACATTAGATATAGAAGGAAGATACTTATTTATGATAAAAGCTATGCATGAGAAGTACACACTCTGATATTGAGTGGGAAAAAGATGAATGAGTTTTCTCTAAGATATGGAAGAAGATGAGGAGGTCCAATATATCTGCATATGACTAGAAATTTGAGCCAGAGCAATTAGGGAATAAAAATGGAAAAAAAAAAAGCTTATAAATAGGAAGGGAGGAAGTCACAATATTCTTTTGGTAGATGTCTAAATACAAAAAACCTAAAGATTCCACAAAAAGACAATTAGAACTGATAAGTTAATTCAATGAAGTAGCATGATCAAAATAATCATAAAAAGATCAGTAGACTTTTTTAAAATCAATAATGAAATTGCTGAGAAAAAAATTATAACAGCAATCCATTCACAAAAATATAAAATATGTAGTAGTAGTAATAAATTTAACCAAGAAAGTAAAAGAACTCTACAGCTACAATGACAAAACACTGATAAAATAAATTTAAGACACAAAAAAATATGCGAAGGCTTCCTGTTTTGATAAATTGGAAGAAATAATATTATTAAAAATTTCATATCATCCAATGCAATTTCTAGATTTGATGCAGTCCTCCTAAAATATCAAGAAGTCTTCACAGAACAAGAAAATAAACTCCAAAATTCATATGGATGCACAACCCCACCACCACCACTAAAGTCACACCCTCTTTAAGCAAAAAGAACAGAGCTGGAGACATCACAATACCTGGATCTCAAGATATATGACAGGGATAAAGCAACCAAGACAGCATAGTATTGACATGAAAATAGATACACATACCAATTAAAGAGAATAGAATAACAGAAATAAATCCACCCACTCACAACCAACTCACCCTTATCAAGGGCACCAAAAACCATTCACTAGAGAAAGGACAGCCTCTTCAATAAGTGGTGCTGGGAAAACTGAATACCATAGAAAAAATGAAACATGTGAAGCAGGTGATTCTAATCTTATGGTACTTGGCAAATGAGAAAGAATCAGCAATTGAAATACAAGTGAAGTCAAGCAAGATGGGTGTCTTGAAAATCTAGAGAGAAGAGGATGTCTTAGAAGAAAAAGTGGAGAAAATGTCGCAACTTGCTGAACATTGTAAGCTGAGAATTCATAACTGACCACTAGAGTTAGTAAAGTGTTGGCCTTTGGTGACTTTCTAAAAAATTTTTGATGAAGAGATAGGATAAAAGTCTTGTTGTATTGAGTTAAAAAACATGAGGCTGGGTTTAAAATTTT